AGGGCTTCTAAGGCAACCCAGTCCACCCCGAAGAGAGGGGCACAGGAAAGAGAATGGTAGTTCCTTGGTGAACTCTCCTTTGTCAGTACAAGAAGTCCAGAAGAAGAAAGCAACCAGTTACTGTGTGCACAGAACCTTCTAAGTCCACACACTTGAGTAGAGGACGGTCTAAACCCGAACCACCCTACCAGCCTCAGGCATCTCCCTCACAGTTGGCTACTGTTCAGTGTTTACACTACACCACATTTGGTTGATGTCTGTCCCAGTTGTCTGAGGAACACGGTGTGAGCTGAACTGGTACAAATCCTAGGAAAGCATCACGTATCGGAACCAGAAGAAATGCCAGGCATGAGAGTCTGACTTTTATTTTCACAGGTGCGGAAACTGAACAGAGAAAGGGGGCTTGCCTAGGGACTTCTGGTTCATTTGAGTCCCTTAACATTTTTGCTCATTTTTAGTATTCTTGACTAGTTTTCTTTTCTCTTTGTTCCTTCCTCCCTTCCTGTCACCCTGCCTTCTGTTTTTGATGCTTCCAGATGTACTTTTCTGTGAGTACCTACTGACTAGTGATAGTCAGCTTCCACATAGGATGAGACAAAAGATGGCACCCTCTGACTTCTGGCAGCCAGAACATGCTGCTGACCGACGGAGGCACCTGCCGGGGAGGGCCTTAGTTTCCCCCCACATGATCCCGCCAGCTCACGGCTCGGGTGGGCACACCGTGTGCAACAGCCACAGGTGGCCCAAGCCTCGGCGGACCTGCAGACTGTGGCTAGGGAGGAGGGGGTGGGGCTTTGGAAGCAGTGCTTTTAGGTAGAAGCAGGCTTCCGAGCCTTTCGGGCCTCCAGGCCTCCTTCTACACTGTGCGGATTTTATCTGCCTGGGACACATCCTGTGTTCTACCCAAGACAACCCCCTCTGGGTAGCATGGATTCTGGAGCATCCCTGTACTTCCTGCCTCGTATATAGCCCCCCTGTGACTCACCCCCTCCACCAAGAGCCTGAAGTCTTATACCTGCCTTCATTCTAGCACCTCTTAGGTTGCATTATAATCATAGTTTTACTTGTTAGGGTCTCACTGGGCTGTGGGGTTTGTTTTTGTTTTTGTTTTTGAAGATTTTATTTGAGAGAGAGAGACACAGCGAGAGAGGGAACACAAGCAGGGGGAGTGGGAGAGGGAGAAGCAGGCTTCCCAGCGGAGCAGGGAGCCCGACGCGGGGCTCGATCCCAGGACCCCGGGATCATGACCTGAGCCGAAGGCAGACGCTTAACGACTGAGCCACCCAGGCGCCCCTGGGCTGTGGGTTCTTGAGGGCTGGACCTCTGCCTTGTTCCCTGTGGCCCTTTCCCTTTCTCACCCCGGGGTCTAGTAGGCACAAACATTGTTGAATGAAGATATCTTGGTATTTTACTCACAGAACGCATTCCCTCAGAATATCTAAGATTTTTTTTTAAGTTTTATTAAAAGCATATGGTTGTCTTGAAATTATAGGGTTCCCCCCGCCCCCTGCTTTGCTTTTCTGCAACGATGATGTCTTACTTGAGGCCTAACTCCCAGAAAGAACAGTCGGTTAGCCGAAGCTGCCGGCGGCCGCATTAACAGCCCCGCGGGAGCGCGCTGGCGGACACGGAGGGCCAGCCGCTACCGGGCGCCGCGCGGGGAGCCTCCGACGCAAACGGCCCCCTCCTGGCCAGCTTCAGCCGGGGCAGCCTCCGCCGACGAGGACTTCTCGCCCTTTACTGACCCTGGCACTTTCTTTTCACACAAGCACACGTGCTGCCGCTCCTCTGACGGCCGGGGGCGCTTATGGTTACGTTCAGCTCGTGCCCTAACTGCAGCCGTCTCCTTGCAGCCGGCCCAGAACCCGGAGAACCCGCAGCCGCGTGGACCGGCCGGCGCGAGCGCCTCCGGAGGAAGGACGTCCTTGAGCCGGCTAGCTCAGGTAGAGCCTGTTTGCCTGCTCTTTCCCTCGGCCATGAAAACAGTGACCCCGAGGAATCTGCGTCCCCGTGGTCACCCCTTGTTGGGGAAGAGTGAGCAGAAGCCCGTGAAGACAGGCGGGCTGTTAGCCTCTGCCCAGGGCCGGTGCCCGCGGAAGAGCGGCCGGCGGAGGAAGTAGGGGTGGGGCGGGCGGGGCGTGCCTGGCAGTCGCGGTTCAGTGTGTGAGAGCAAGGATTTAATTACCACTTCGCCAGAAAAGAGGGAGAGAGGGAAGAGTTTCCATTTAATTTTGGACATGAAATTTGAGAACTAGCCTAAGACAAATATCAGTATGAATTTGGAATCAGATCAGTGATGGTTTCTGTAGGGGCAAATTTCCAGTGCTAAGATCTCAGCTAAGGATGTGCGGGAACCCAGGAGGAGTCAGCTCTGTTCGCACAGACTTGTTTTCAGACATTCCTCTCCCCTTGCAGTTTGCGGTTACCAAAGAATCCCACAAAATCCATTCATTCAAACTCAGGGTTACTTGATGCCTGCTCTGCTGGGAGCTCCTTGAGGCCTGTCTTCTCACGGCGGTTCCCTGCTGCGCCGGACAACAGCTTGTGCCTTCCATACGATTCTGCATGGAAATTAGCAGTATTCAAGTATGAATTTTCTTTAGAGAGAGCACATACGAGCCAGGGGAGGGGGAGAGAGAGAGAGTCTCAAGCAGACTCCATGCTAAGCGCAGAGCCCAACATCGGGCTGGATCCCATGACCCTGAGATCATGACCTGAGCTGAAATCGAGTCAGTTGCTTAACCGACTGAGCCACCCAGGCGCCCCTGAATTTCCTTTTTAATGTATTTATTGAACTGTGCTAACAGTGGTATAAAACAGAAAACATGGGAGTTTTCTCCATCTGGCTTACCACTAACTCAAAATAAATGGTCATAGAACTAAAAACTTAAGAGCTAAGAAGACTAAGAATTCATGTCTATTTCTTTTAATAACTCAAGTAACCACGACCAAAAAAACTCCAAAAAACAAAACCTAAAAACCTTTGTCCAGCAGATCAAACTCTATAGTGCCCCAGTGTAGCCTCATATTTGCATTGTGGTTAGAGGTTAATTGAATGAGTGGCTGAGGACAGGAGAGCCACAAAAAACATGGAAACAAGGCAGAGTGTGATATCCTTCTTCAGGAAATGTCAGTTGCTATAAAAAGTGTATCTTAGCCTAATTTATTTACATAGTATGGAACCATGTAAAAACAAGAAAAAGCACCAGGCTGGCAGCTCAGATACGCTACTCGTTTGCTCTAAACTTGTAGACAAGGTAAAACTTTTTGGAAACCAATTTAGCAATAGAGATCAAATTTAATTACCTATAATTCCATTTCAGCTACACAAACATGCATATAAGGATGCCCTTCATAGTGATGATCATAGAAACAAGATTGGAAACAACATAAATGTTCACTAACAGGATACTAAGTGGTTTTAAGTGTGGTATAAACACAGTGGAGGGCTCCATGTTACTTTCATGTTCTTTTTTTTTTTTAAAGATTTTATTTATTTGACAGAGAGAGAGACAGACAGCTAGAGAGGGAACACAAGCAGGGGGAGTGGGAGAGGGAGAAGCAGGCTTCCCGCCGAGCAGGGGGCCCGATGCGGGGCTTGATCCCAGGACTCTGGGATCATGACCTGAGCCGAAGGCAGACGCTTAACGACTGAGCCACCCAGGCGCCACCTCATGTTCTTCTTTCTAAGTAGAGTCTGAGAAGCTGGTTTGAATTTAGAAAAGGAAATGTCTATTACACATAGTTTCTAGAGAAATATCAATTGTAGACACACACACCAAACCATGCCATCCATAGAAGGGGCATAAAACCACCCACCCAGGAGGAGGAGCGTGAGGCGTCAAAGCGGCAAACGTAGAGGGAACACTGCCGAGCCAGAGCCCACAGGATCACATGAGACTGGGGATCTGGTGTCACCGTATCTTCCAGATTGCCAAGCACTGTCAGACTTTGATTTGAACTCTAGTATCTAAATAGTAGCAACTTATTCAACTGGTTTTAAAACACTGCAAGTTACCAAAGAAGACCTACAGATGGCAAATTAAGCAAGTGAAAAACTTGCTCGACACCATGTGACCTCATTTATGACACTCTGGAAAAGGCAAAGCTATAAGGTATGGAGAACAGATGAGTGGCTGCCAGGGGTTAAGTGTTTGACAACAAGAGTGGAGGTAGTGTGAAGAAATTTTCCGGGGGTGGGGGGCTCGGGGGGTATGGAAATGTCGGTCTCTTGATTGTTGTGATCGTTACCATGCTTCTTCTCTCCCTGTGAAACTTCATGAACAGGACTGGAAAGAGACATGAGTGAGTTAATTATGTCCTTTGATCAGTCCGTTTGTGACTTCTCTTTATTACATTCAAAACCCTCTTTCCACATGGTGAACTGCTCACACCCATCCATCTATGAGGTGGGAAAGATGAACAAAGCTAGTGCATTTCATTCATTGACAACTCTGTCAATCCACAAAATGTTAGCACAGTATTCGTCATTAAAGCAGGATCTTAACTTTGTAAATCATTTCATTAATACATTTGCACTACTTAGGGCTACAAGTTGATCTCACTTCCTATGTATATTTAGAAACATTATCTAAAGGAACCCTGTAAAGCTTATAATAAGCACTAATTTTTGGTGTATGTTTCCCTAATATTTCCTTAAAGCGAAGTTTTTCTGTGTTCTATTCAGGCTGTTGCTTTTGGCTATAATCTCTAATAAACTATTCTTCTTAAATCCCCACAGTCTCTCCTGGTGTCAGAGGAGCGGCCCCCGGTCCGTGAACAATCTGCGTGGGACACGGAAGAGTTAGGCCCCTTTCTACGCTTGTGCCTCATGGATCAGAATTTCCCCGCGTTTGTGGAAGAGGTGGAAAAGGAACTCAAAAAGCTGACAGGGTTGAGCAATTAACACTCCACATACATACAGAACTAAGGAAGTTGAAAGCACTGAAAAAGTGCTTCCTCTTACGTTTAGATACAAGAATAAAGAGTATTATTCCAAACACCTTTTATCAATGTTTTATTTTTAAAAACAGGTGAATCCACTTTTTTATACATCATTGCACTTCAACACTTACACAAAACACCAGTACATGCATCTATGGTTACATACCGCATGAGAACCCTGCCGGGCGAGAAAATCTACACTCAACCATTAAATCAATGTGAAAAATACAGTGTCAACCCCGGAGGAGAACGAGTTGCATAGAATACCATGCGAGAACATTTCAAGGTCTTTGAAAACAAAAGGTAAATTATAAAAGTTTGCCTTCATTGAATGTACAATAAGATTCAACACATCAGTGCAAAAGGATTTAGGAATTTACATGATTTAACGAAAGAAAAGAGTCACTTAAAAAGCAATCATACATATATACTGCAATTCAATATATCCATTCAGTGGAGTGTTCCGGCTTCTTACCAAAGTCGTAGGTTAAGCCCTTAGAACTATAGATTTCAGTTTATATTATTCATCTTTATGTACCAGAACTGCACACTTTCCTCATCTGACAACATACAATAAGGAATGAATATCAGCAGCTAAAAAATGAAACAAGCATTTATTTTATTTTGGATTTCTCCCACCCCCAAAAATATAAATATATATATATATATTTATATACTGTATATATCTGTAGGTTTTGCTGTACTTTACAAAAATGTTATCACTAGATGGCAGCAGTGCAATTTAGAGCTTTGCCAATTTAACAGCTGCATTAAGTAAAAAATGGCGCATGCACGATCCGATCCTCAGAGGACCTTTTCACTTCTACTTAAATATTTTAACAAAGGGGGGAAAAAAGCAACATTCACAGCACATCAAGCCCAAAATAGTTTACACCTTCTACACTGAAGCATTGTTTAAAATGTACCTGACTAGGTCACCCTTACAGGAAAGGCTAAATAAGGCATGCTGTAGACAGTCATTGTGGTGCTGCTCGCTTGAAAGGGGAGAGAACCAAAGAGGTCCAAGCAGAAAATTTAGCAGGTCATGTTGCCACCAGTTTCAGGAACCTAAAGGTCTGTAAAGAAAGAGTATGTGGAGATTAAAAGGGAATATGCACTGTCACTTAAGACCACACCAAGTGCCACATCAAACAAAGCATGCTCAGGGATGTGGCGTGAAATTCTGATCTCCATGTGCCTACGTGGAAGGCACTCCGGCCCGGCTGTGCCCGGCCACCATTCTTCCCTTGCCCTCACAAGCAAAGTGGAATTAACTGGCCTCTGGGAATAATCCACCTAAGGTGACAATTTTTACCTCTTTTTAACAGATACGGTTAAACAGCAGTGCAGGGTCTTTCTTTTTAAAACACCATACCAAAAAAAAAAAACAAAACACCATACATATTCTGAAATGGCATTTAGAAAAATATGTGGAACGACACAGCAGAAAACGTTCCTTTCCAGCTGCTGCACTGGATGGAGGACAGAGACCGAATTTGTTCCATCAGTAGTTCTGCTCTGAAATGAACTACAAGATCCCACAACAGGACGCCAACTACTGAAGAATCTGTCACAAGGTCAACAGAGGCACAGTCATTTGAATATAATTTTTAAAATCTCTAAAGAAGGCCATACTTACATCATAAGCAGTATTTAATTTGTGTTTCTCTGGCGCAAGTTTTTCTCTTTGTGATTGTTGGTAGAGTTGGTTTTCCTTTGGAGGAAAAATTGCATTGTAAAAGTTAAACTCAAAGTCAGTAGCAACTCTTGAAATTATAACACATGGAAATACAGGAATTCTTTCACTTACTACCATCCCTGGTGTAATAAGAAATTTTACTGCACATGAGTGTATAAAAATATTCTTTCTATAAAATGCCTACAGAGCTTCGATTAATCCTTTTGACTCCCAAGACAGACAATATACAGGTACCTTTCCCTCGGATTTATAGGCTGTAATTACTTGTAAAGGCAAAAATAGTAGTTTCTTCTCTACTGAACACTACGGTCTCTTCTCAAATGATAAAAGATGATCTTGGGCAGTGCTGTGCCCTCTGGCACTTAACCAATTTGGGCACTGTTTGCCTGTCTCTCACTTCTTAGTCCCCAACTCTAGGAGGTTCTGATTATCTTGGATGGATTCAGGACTTACAGTACCATCTCTCTTGGATACATGCAACTGTTAATGGAGCCAGGCAAGGTATCCATGCTATAGTACAGCTTGAAATGAACAAAACTGGAAGTCTCTGATATACAGGTGATTTTCCCCCGCATTATCAATTTAAGCATATAGGATGTGCAAAACTTTAAGCAGTTTCTTGCATGGCATTCCACTTGATATGTTACTAAAAACAAAACTGCACTGCCTGTCCTGGGAATCAGATGGCTGTCAGTCAGCTCCCTGACCATGCGGCTAGGGAGGTCTACACTGCGACACTCATTTCCGCTCATTGGCTCCCCACAGCCTTCACTACTCCATTCGATTAAACTGCAAATACAAAATAAAACAAACTACTGAATCAATGTCCAGTAAAGTACTTACATTGGCCCAGCTGGTTCATCGTCTATAAAGTGTTCAGTTTTTTAATAATCCATTGAGAGGAGAAGAAAGGAGAAAATCGTGAGACTCTACATAAGAATGAATAGAAGAGCAAACGGCAAGTGGCAAACATGGCTATTCATAGCATTTATTCAAGGCCATTCCATCTGGAGGTGCAAAAACACTCATGGAGTTATTATTTCTAGATTCAAGTTTTTAATGGCAGGTATGTTGTTTCAATGGTTTTAGTTAACACTTTGAATGCTTGTCATGAAAAACTGCAACTGTAGCGGACAGATAGGCTGCAATGTCATTATACTCATCTTGTCCCCAAGTTCCAGTGGTTCACTCTTAAATAGATGAGAAGACAAACCAACATTTCAGTTGTAAAATCCTGCTGTTTGTTTTCTTGTGGTGAATGCATGCACAGTTTTGGCTCAATCCTACAATGTAGATGGATGTGTATGTTCTATACATTTAGCCACACATCCTCACTTCCCCAAAGGACACTGTTCTTGCTCTTTTGTCGTCTTTAGGAAGTCTTTAGTCTGGAGAAGAGATTGAGGAAGAGGAAGCCACAATAGTTCAACCTACTACTGGGTCAGCCCGGCTGGGCTATGCCAGCAACAAGTGTATGCATACCAGAAGATGTTCTGTGACACACCGGGGAGAGCTGAATAGTGGTGACATCCCTCTAGAAAAGACCTCAGACAGAAAGACACGCTCAACTCTTGAGCCCTGGCCAGAACCAGCACCCAAATCCAGATGAGCCATGAGATTTTTTTTTTTTTTAAACCAAAAAGCTTACATTATCTGAGTTTAGAAGCCTTCTTAAATTGGTATTTCACAGTTCTGATTTGTGAGTTTTTCTTTCCTGTTTGGACTAAGGGCAACTTGGTCCCCTTTAGGCAAGGATGCAGGTACATGGGATATTTTTTTAAAGAGGCCCACAAAGGGGAGGGAACAAGTAAGTGCTCTTAGTTTTTTTTCTGTTTCACATAAGTCAGGTAGACTAAACGATTCAGAACAGTTTGGTTTCACCGAAGGCTTCTAGAAAACCTCTCAGCAGGATTCCACAAGGGGGCTTGGTGCACATGAAGCAGTTATGGAGGCCACAGTCTCAGTGTAGGCGTCTGCAGGAGCGCGCGTCAGGAGTAATGTCTGTCACAGGGAGACATTGCTCCACCTATTCCTTCGAGGCAACGGAGAGGCAAAGCCACCGCCAGCACACACAGTGACTGGAGCAAAACAAGATTGAAAAAGAAAAACAGAAACAAAAACCAACCACAAACCAATGACTTGTCAGCCAAAACAACAGGCTAGCGACACACCAGTGTCCACAGGATTCTACTACGAACAACAGTACTCTATCGCACAGGTACAGAGAACGACTAAGACTCAAGGACACCCGAGACATCTGTGTGCTGGGGATGCAGTGGAGATACACGAGACACATCAAGACTGAGACACACGAGCCCAGCCTACGTCTACTCTCACCACGACACCCTAGGCTCTCCGCATCCAGGCCAAGCCAGCTCAGCTACATGCTAGGAACTAAGCACTTCAGGGACGTCAAGGAAAAGACCCCGGAGCAAACTCAGAATAGGTCCGGTGCTCTGGCCGTGCACCGGAAAACAGAAAATTCTAAAGCAAGATAACGGACAAGAATATCACCACCAATCTACTCCCAACATGAAAAGAAAAAGCAGGGGAGAGGAATCGCGACAGCCAAGCTAATCTCCTCAAAGCAGGACACTGTCCGCACCGACCCAAGCACTTTACACGCAAGCTTCTCTTTCTCTTGGTGGCGGAGGGGTGGGCCCTGCTGTCTGCCCGGTGGCGTCACCTCCCAGCCTAACAAGCCGGGAAGGCGCAAAGGGCTGCATGTAGGGGTTTGAGCAACAGCGGCCCCGGTGCAGCTGCCATGCCTGCGAGTGGGAGCAGGTGCATCTAGATCTCCCTTCATCTCTCTCCCCAGATCCACTTGCACACTGACAAGGAACCCAGAAAAGAGCCTCGTGTCTCCTACTGTCTGTCTGGACTGACTCACTATCTGCAGCAGCACTCTCCCTCTACAGGTCAGACCGGGGGAAAAAAAACCAAAAAAACAACCAAAAAACAAACAAACAAAAAAAACCCAACAACCTGACCCTAACAGGGAAATCAGGAGAGAGGGAAAGAACAGAACTACAGAAAAAAAAAAAAAGGTACAAAAATCAAAAAGTAAATGAAGATTAAACAGCAAACTGAAATTCAAATTAGTTGTGAAAGTGAATGAAGTCAACTTGAAGAAAAGTGTTAACATTATGAACTGTGCATCGTATAGACTGAAGCGGAGATTAAACAAACTCCAAAAGCATGCATATCGCTCACTTACCACCATGTTTTAAGGGTTTGATGCAATTGAGGGGGGAAAAAAAAGAAGTCATAGTAACCGACAAATATCAACATACCCCCAAACCCTCAGGCCAAAAGATAGCGGCTTAAACAATGGCTCTCCTCTTCGCCTGGGTATTACAGCCACTGGCTGGATGGGAGGAAGAGGACTGGGGGGGAGAAGGGAAACAAGATGCTTCTGGAATCCATCTTAGGAGAGTGAAGTTCCTGGTGGAACTGCCATCTTCCCAACCAGATGTGCTATGGCCCTCGCTCTGCTAGACCCCATCGCCTCATCATCTGGGAGGGTGCTCTGCGATGCCCAGTAAATAATGTGTTACCTGATAGGGGAGCACCTTCAAAAAGATGGCTTTCCAGTCAACGTGACCAAGAGTTGACTCATCTGGTCAAAACTCCTTTTTCACTGCCTTCATCTCACGGAGGATGGGGTTTTCTAGTTTCTAAACCTGCTTATATCTTGCCTGATCTCAGCAGAGTAGCATTAAACCAGAGAGTGATTAACGGTTACATCCAGTTGCCTTTCATACTTGGTCCTACTGTATTTTCTCCATAAGGTAACTTCTTACTGACTCAGATGACCCCTAGTTAGGAGACAATGACCTGTGTGTGTGTTTTGCATGTCATTTTAAAAAGTCACATTTCTTTTCCAGCATTCCTGGCCAGCTGAAAAGCTTCATATGCTTCCAACACATTTTTCAAACATTAGAATAGCTCTTATTTGTAGAGTGTCTAAAAGAGTTTGAGGGCGCCTGGGTGGCTCAGTCATTAAGCGTCTGCCTTTGGCTCAGGTCATGATCCCGGGGTCCTGGGATCGAGTCCCGCATCGGGCTCCCTGCCCGGCGGGAAGCCTGTTTCTCCCTCTCCCACTCCCCCTGCTTGCTTGTGTTCCTGCTCTCACTATCTCTGTCTCTGTCAAATAAATAAATAAAGTCTTTAAAAAAAATAAAAAAATAAAAGAGTTTGAATGTATCAGAGCCACTAAAAATGGTTCCCCCCCAGCCCCCCAACTATCTACTCCACCAGTAACTGGAGGAGGAATCCCTTTGAACTGCTTATAAAAATTATCCCCCAAATGTGAAAACAGAAAACTCTGATGCTGCCACTTCTTTTCTCAAAGCAGCTCCTCTTGTTTTCCTTTGAGGTCACTAAAATGTCCAGTAGAACTGAAGGCCCCAACAAAGAGGCAGGCTCATGCCACAGCTCCCCAGGTGAATGGGGCGCGCACACACACTAATCCCTCTCTGGGTTCAGTCTGCAGAGAAGCAGCACAGAAGGTACGCTCCAAGCACGTGAGCCGGAGGATGGATGGAAGGCCAGGCGGATGCCGGCGGGACCTGGTCTGTTCAGAAAACTATCACTTAGCATTTTCAGAGAAGGCAGTCAAGAGGTGAGTAAAGTGAAAAAACGAAGCCTTTGATTTGACTCCATGATTCATCTGTTACGGAAAACACTGGAGGTAAGAGGTGATATGCAGATAATCTACCTATAAGACAACCTACTGGGCACCAATCCTCAAAGAAACCACAACAGGGGCTTAAAGGGACTTAATGTGAGTTTTGTTTATGAATGTCCTGAGTAGGGGCACCTGGGTGGCTCAGTCGGTTAAGCGTCTGCCTTCGGCTCAGGTCATGATCCCAGGGTCCTGGGATCGAGCCCCGCATCGGGCTCCCTGCTCAGCGGAGAGTCTGCTTCTTCTCCCTCTGCCTCTGCCGCTCCCCCTGCTTGTGCTCTCTGGCTCTATCTCTCTGTCAAATAAATAAATAGAATCTTAAAAAAATAATAAAATGTCACGAGTAGACTCTAATAGCCTAAGAGATAGAGCTCTTTTGTTTTTTCTACTGAAAGTCACTAAACCTTAACTCTAAGCATTTTCTATGTGAGAAATCTAAAGCAGTATTTGCTTTTCTGGTGAAATGTACTCAGACTAAACTCTCTAAGTTCGAATTTGTGCATGTGTATAGTTTTAAATTGTTCACTTAGTGCTTTTCTGGTAAGGGGCTGAGTTTCCAAGAGCTCAGACTGCCCAAATAGGAATAATATGAGTTGTACATGAAATTGTTTCATACAAGAAAAAATTCAGTGACTCAGAAATCCTGTCTACTCTGATAATAAAGTACCTATTTTGGCAGAGAAAGCGTATCAGGCGTATAAAAAAAAATCCGTTTTCACAATGGCATAAATATGTCAACAGCACCACAGATGGTTATCTGATCATTCATCACGTCTAAAACTCCAATCTGTGTAAGATATGAGGTACCCCTTCCTTCATTCCACAAAGGAGCGCGTGCATCTATCTACATGTAGCCTTGGGAAGAAAGCACAGGAGGAGGCTGCTCTTACATGGACTGCACAGGAGTTGAGGGGAAACTAGCTAGAAAAAAAGCCACAGCATAAGGAAAACTCACTGAGGAACAGTCAACTTTTTTTTTTCTTTAATGATTAATTCCAGGAGGACAAGAAATAAAGGGGCACAGGAGCAGGGAGGGGTTTGAGAGGTGGTGGCAGACAAGGGAGAAAACTCTGGGGCAGAAATGCTGGAGCAAGGCAAGGATGTGGAGATGGAGAATGGAGCCCAGACCGCACTGGCTGTCAGGAAGGGAGCGGAGAGGAGGCGAACACTGCAATAATCACAGCGTCCCAGGTCTGTCGCCCCAATTCAACAAGAGAAAAGTAAATGCTACTTGCATTACAGTTCTTCCAAGAGACCAGAGCAAGGAGATTTTACTTTGCACTTACCCATGTCTTTCATGTAGGATTCATCCACTGTCTATAATAATTTAGCTTAAAAGAGGTACCTTGCCAGGAAGCCATTCAGAAGATTTGCTGACCACACAGGTCTCCTCTACCCAACTGGCCACCACTTGAGTTCAAGAGCCATGGAGCTCTAGTTTTTTTTGTTGTTGTTTTTTGTTTGTTTTTTTAACAATAGTTGCTTCCCCAGGCAGGTGTCTGGCGCTTGTCCAAACCAATACTAACCATTTCTGAAATCTAACCTAAATGTCTTCCACACATTCGGGGGGTGGGGGTGGCAACCTGGTAATAAACAAGCAACAGTCCTAGGAGGAAGACTGGAACCTCAGATGGGGACATGCTAAGCCAATGTGTCACTCTGCCAAGAAAGTGGCAGTCAGCCTCGTCTTAAAAAATCAGGTTCTGAAGCCCATCTTTGCCTTTTCCTCTTTGCTTCTCTACCTTTCCAAAGGGAAGGCTGAGCAAGGTGCTGTTTAGCAAAGCAAAAACATTGAGGGGATGAAAAGCCTTTGCAGAACTGAGGCGTTTATAACTGCTCCTAGAGAGCCAATATGCTGGAAATATAGACAACTTCCCCTGATTCTCAGGCCTAAATGTAAGTATTCTGCCTTAGGAATCCTAATCTGTAGCAGGAAAGAGAAAAAACTACAGTAAAAAGCATTATGCATATGTGAAAATCCCAAGAACACAGTTCACTTCATAGAACAGCAGCTGGACCTAGGAGTGGACCTAGGAGAAGGAATGTAAAAATCCTGGGGGCACACTTCTGCTGCAGGGAACTAGCTCATTTATTTCCACAGGCCCAGCGGCTTCCAGCTGACATCCCTTCACTCCTCCATCTAGCTCGCTGCGGAAGGAATGTACACTGGAAGGGAGTCCAGCAGGGCTTCCTACAGGCGTTGTTAGGTTCAACAACAAACCTTTTCGCCAGCCTCACTGTAATACTCTTCTACTTAGGGCAGGCAGAGAGATTTTGGAGGTGCTGAGAAGAAAGGAACAGGGGAAGAGGCTATTGCTCTCAAACGTGGCCTTCCAGAGAGGCCGAAGCCACCGGGCTACCTTCAGGGCTGCACGCCTTCTGAGGGAGTGGCAGCCCCAGGGACACAGACAACTCTGTGGGGCGGGCACAGAACCTTGGTGCACGAGCGAGCACAGGCCCAGGACAGTCGTACCAGAGTTGGCATCCTCACCATCACCCGAGGCCGGCCTCCACTGAACTGAGGCCCATACCCTTCTTGTATAGTCAGTGACAGCAAGTGGTGGTAATCGCGCTGGCCAATGAATTTGATGGTGATGTTACAGGGCCGAAGGGTGGGAGCTAGTCAGGAAGCGGAGAATAACAAGTCTCCAGCAGTAGCAGCCCCCTGACTGTAATCCTGGGGTTAGAAATGGAATATCCATGACAAAAAACAACAACAACAACAACAACAAACCCCCAAAGACTTCCTAGGACTTTCCTCAAAATCTAAAGATCCAAAAATCTAAGATGCTTGTTCTTTCCAACACTTAATGATTCACTATAGTCCTGGTGCCGCTATCTAGTCCCACCTCGGGCCCTAAGCCAGTCTGAGGGTGTCACCTTGGGGCATGGGCTCCAGGTGTACTGCTTAGCTGTCTCGGTCTTAAAACCGGGTGTGGCAGATGCATCAGACTCCACCATTCTTGTGAGATAGACAGAAAAGCCAAACGCTTGGTGCCTGCTTCACGGAGAACCTTGAAAACCTACCAAAGGGACCACCAACCAAGGGAACCAAAGGCTGGCTTGTTCCAACGGCTTTTCTCAAGAACAGTTTGACTGGGCTGGGGCTACACCAGGCAACCATGTGACAACCAATTAGATACCTTAAATCTGCCTGAAAGGCCAGGTGGCCTGCGATCTTGGGGTGGCTTCTAGGCTTGACTTGGATTCTCCTCAAGCTCAATCTGCCTGATGATCTGTATTGAAGGAGGACAGAGCTGAACAAAGAGACTGACAGCTGCCCATTCCCCACACGGGGCCTGAAAGGCAGATGGGACTGGGGCTTGGAGAATACCCAAATGGAGGGACAGAGCTCATTATAGCTCTAGGTGGCTAATCTTAGGAGTAGGGAGTGAGGAACCAGTATGAGAATTCTCCTTCTCTCCTTTAGGGATCGAACCCCAACATTCTTATAGTCCTTTTTGGGTGCTTGGAAACCATCCCAAGGATCCAACCCCAACATTACAGCTATTTTGTAGGGATGCTCTTACCGTCAGGAACTTCATCTGGCCTCTTCCTCTTCTCATACACAACAATGATCACCACAAGGATGATGATTTCAGCCAGAATTCCCAAAAAAGGCCAGAGTGGGGCCAGGTGGCTCCGTACCCTGAGGATGGTGACAACGGAGGCTGAGCCAATGGAGTTGGTAGCATTACATTCATACTCGCCAGGGTCTTCTGTGATCTGGAGATTCATGATGCTCAGCTCAGTGTAATTTTCCTTGTTGATGATGAAGAAGCGGCCAGAGGTATTGACAATGTCCTGCTCAGGGGCAGAAAAAGTAACACACAAAGGTCAGAGTAGGTGAATTTGTGTCTAAGACAAGGTGGCAATGTTCTCCCTTCTTAGCAGGACCACTGGCTGGGATGAGGGAGCAGTGTCTAGGACCATCTTTGTCCAGATAACTTGTGAGCACTTCATTACTGGCTTTCTTTCATTATCCATTAACAACAGATCCCGCAAGCTTCTGGCAGAGCCAGGTTAAAGCCTCCCCGGCCGTTGGTCCTCTGGATTTCTCCAACTTCTACGAAGTGAATAGAAGAAGTCCTACCCTTTGGCCTCAGAAAAGACTGACTCAATCTAGAAAATGCTAATTCAAATACAGGTAAGAAACCATAACACAGGAAGAAGATGGAGAAAGAGGGATGTGACCTCCATGGTCAGGCATATATGCTAAAACTTCAGGCCTGTCTGAGGACTTCAGAGTCAGCACATCTACCTCATACTTGGTGAGTTCTGGAAAGTCTCCTTAAACTTCCTCCAGAAACAATGCTAAGAACTTGCTCCTAGTTAGAGTAGAGAAATTCATAACTTCCCTTTCTTTTAAGAATTAAAGGGTTGGGGCGCCTGGGTGGCTCAGATGGTTAAGTGTCTGCCTTCGGCTCGGGTCATGATCTCCAGGTCCTGGGATCAAGCCCAGGATTGGGCTTCCTGCTCAGCAGGGAGTCTGTTTCTCCCTCTTCCTCTGCCTCTCCCCACTACTCCTGCTCTCTCTCTCTCTCTCACTTTGTATCTCTCTGTCTCAATAAATAATTAAAAAAAAAAAAGAATTAAAGGGTTAAAGGAAAGTTTATTCAGTCAACCAACAACTATTTACTAATGTATACTCTATGTCTCACATCCTACTGAGGGGAAGGTGAGACACAAAGTGAATGAGGAGGTTGGCCTTAAGAGGGAACCAGACCTCCAAAGGGATGGTTACAGGAACGTGGCAAGAAGCCCCAACAGACAGCATGTGCTGAGCACTGTGGGGCAGAGTGAGTGGTCGGTGCCAGAAAGACTCAGGGAAAGCTTCAGAGAAGAGCCAGCTTTTGCACTAGATGGTGGGGAGGAGAGGTGATCAAGCAGGACAGGAGTGCTCCAGGCCCGTGTGGGAAGGCAGAGGTGAGAGTCCACAAGCAGGAGTCTAGGTGGAACTGGGACAGGCTTACAGCACTGGGGTGATGGCAGGGCAAAAATGGACTCATGTGTCAGCTGTTACACAACTAAAGCATAATCAGAAATAGCAGAGAAGAAAGGGGAAGATAACCCCCAGAATGACGTCTAGCTATAGCATACAATGGTGCGTGCAAATGAGTGTAGGTATGACTAAAATGGCAAACACGGCCTTCAAAATAGTTATTCCATGAAGCTTCAACTCGAGGACTTGTAAAGCTGCCAACTTCTCTAACCCCTGCTCTACTGGTTCACTAAGTCCACGTTTTCACTTATGATCAGAAATGATTATTAGTGTCTTCTTTGATCCACAAGCCTACAATGCAGATTTTTTTAATACCATCATACACAAGAAATAAATAAAATCTTAAAAAAAAAAAAGAAACTTTAACCTTTTCAATCAATGCATAAGAAGATATTGAGTGGGATTTGTCCTATTGCTACAGAATTGATGACTAAGGAGAAGCATCAAAAGTACCCCATATTCTTGGATCAAAGTACAGCATAGGGAATAGAGTCAATACCATTGTAATAACATTGTATGGTAACAGATGGTGACTACACTTAATCGTGGTGAGCACTGCATTATGTACACAATTGTCAAATCACTATGCTATACACCTGAAACGAATTAACATATGTCAACTATACCTCAATAAAAATTTTTAAATATATACATAAATTTTTTTTAGAAGGCTAGCTTTTCCTAATTTAACTTGTACTTAGGAAGTGTTCACATACATTCTAACAGTGATTGATATTTAGGTTTCAGTATCAAGATTGTGTTATCTTATTCATTATATGTTCAAGTCTTCCATAGTGTTGTTGATTTTCCATCTCATCTGTCAAAGACTAAAAATAATATATGTAAATCTGCCACCATGTAACTGTGCTTCTGGCTATATTTCCTTATTTTTCCAGTTTTTGCTTCATTCATTTTGAAACTCTACTCTACAAACTGGTTTTCAAAGAAGATCATGACACAGCTTTGTCTTTATTGTGGATTATATATCTTACCATGATAAAAAGGAACTCTTTTGGTTTCATGTTTTTATTTGAACCTCACTTTCTGTAATGTTAATATTTCCACTTGTTCTTTCTATTTATATACTTTCACCATATATACTTTATTCATTTTTGTTTTAACACTTCTGTCCTATTTTGTTATATGGAGATCATCTTTAAGCAACATATCGCTATATTCTTGTTTCTTAAATCTCTGCCTTTAGATACTTAAAACTTTGTATTTAATACTACTGTAATTTTTACATTTATTGTCATAAATAATGACTTACTTAAAAAAAGTACCCCAGAATTCTTAAACAAACAAACAAACAAAAAATTCCATACGAATTGGGGGCAGACAGTCAGTCCTTCCAGGGCTTATTAAAAGGGAGCCCCATTAAGCTATCTTATCCCCAAGTCATCACTACATTACCCCTTGCCAATCTATAAAAGAGAAGACAGGATGAGAAATGATAGGAAAAGAGTTATACTTGGAATTGCAGGCAGCCTTCCACCCTGCAGCTGAGTGGAACAGGCACCAAGAGAATCACTCAGACTGGGGGTGGCAAGAAGAAAATATCTTTTTCCAGTGGATATCCGTTTATGCAGGAGACCGACTGATGTGATGTATGCTTCTCAATCTTGGAAAAAGGCTATCTGGAGATAAGGAGGCAGAGGAGCCTATACTCCCACCATCTGAAGAGCCATGATGTTCAAGTTTCCTCTGCCTAAGAGGATGAGCAGACCCCAGCATCTGTGGCTGGAGCTAAATAGGAAACAGAGAGGTTCAGTAAGAGTAGATCTCTGATATCTGAGAACTGGCCCCGTAAAGGACTCACACAAGTTCTTACAAGATCCAGGATCTGGATATCTGCCACATAGAGGTCCCAGAAGCAGCAAAAACCAAGAGTAGACTATAGGAAAAGTCAGATGAGTGACACTTGTCCCCCTTCCTGCCCCCTAGAGAAGAAAGAAAAACCCAGAAGACAGAGTGAGGACAATCCCCTGCTCCCCTTGCAGGCTAGGGAGAGGGGAAGGGAGGTAAAACTGGGAATTCTGGATTGGACTGGACTCAACTCTTTAACAAAAAAGAGGTCCAAGAAAGCTATGGGATCTATCTAGAAAAAGGATCTGTGCTGAAATTAGTGTCTAGAAAAAAACTGAAAGCATTTTATCTTAGCCCTCAACCAAGTTTAGGTTGTTCAACAAACTGATTTTCAAAGGCATCAACCTAGAAATTGCTTTTCTTTTCCCTATTCCTCTTTCATTAAAAGTTTTCTGCATGGAGCACTGGGTGTTATATGCAAACAATGAATCATAGAACACTACATCAAAAACTAATGATGTAATGTATGGTGATTAACATAACATAATAAAAAAAAAAAGATTAAAAAAAAAGTTTCTGTTTCCCAAATGATTCACAGCTTGGAAGAGGAAATACTACTTGATTTTAAAGGTTTTTCACAATATAACAGATAATTAAAAGAGTTCATGGGCATGAGAAGAATAGGAGATGAAAATATCCACTGATGGGGCGCCTGGGTGGCTCAGTTGGTTAAGCGTCTGCCTTCGCGGCTCAGGTCTTGATCCCAGGGTCCTGGGATAGAGCCCCGAGTCAGGCTCCCTGCTCAGTGGGGAGCCTGTTTCTTCTCGCTCTGCTGCTCCCCTGTTTGTGCTCTCTGGCTCTCTCTGTCAAATAAATAAATAAAATCTTAAAAAAAAAAAAAAAGAAAGAAAGAAAGAATCTACTGAGGAATCAAGGGCTCTCCTACCCAGAGACCAATAGAGAGAAATGGGCATTTGCTTGCCAGCACAATGAAGTATTTTATTGACTTTTCAGGGGCTGCTCTGAAAATACTCAACCTCTCCCTTCCTCATCATGACCCCTTATTAATGGGTTTCTGAAATCTAGTCATTGTTGTTAATGTTAGAGTCCTTGTCACCACTTGACATATTATTATTGAGAGATCATGGAGTGGGAAGAACCACGGACTTGAAATAAAAAAACTGGACTTGACCCATCCTTGGTTTTGTCACATACCTTGGGTTAATATGTAATCTTTCTGAAGAAGCAGATTAGATTATCTCCTTAGTCCTTCTGACTACTGACAATCAGAGAGGATGCCTGAGAAGTACAGTGCTGGGCATGCAAGGCCTGGGGACAGGAGGAATGGATGACACCCTCTCTGACAGAGAGACTGGCCAAACATCATGAATCAGAGAGGAGTGAGAGTCTAAAACTTGGACTCCCTCTACACTATCAAGAATCATCACACTGAATGAAAAAGATGTTTTCTTTGACCTTTTCGGGAGCAGATGCTGTCATATTTCCAATGCCCAAGGCTGCCCTTGTGCCTCACCATGTCGCCTCAATCCCTCATCAGTACTCCCTGTGTTCCTGGAATACACTAGTAATTGCCCTCGTCACCTTGTCTTCCCCCAAAACCAGAAAGGTGTATTAGGACTACTTCAAGAGGAATATTTTCTTTAGGACAAATGGACTAGAATAATAAAAAAAAATTTAAGATTGGGGTTAGCTCAGGTGCCTGGGTGGCTCAGTCATTAAGCGTCTGCCTTCGGCTCAGGTCGTAATCCCAGAGTCCTGGGATCGACCCCCACATCGGGCTCCCTGCCCGGCGGGAAGCCTGCTTCTCTCTCTCCCTCTGCCCCTGCTTGTGCTCTGTCAAATAAGTAAATAAAATCTTAAAAAAAAAAAAAAAAAAAAGATTGGGGTTAGCTCTTTCAGTTTTCCATCTTGAAGGCAAACCAGTCTAACCTCTTTGCAGAGAGCCAGCTTTAACAAATCATGTAGGGAGTCCATGCTGGACAGAGACTGTTGGTGACCTCCAGATTCATTATGTAACCATTTGTGACTAGAAAGGGTGACTGACCCAAGCCATGCCAGTATGGCAGGTTACAACAACTGGTCCAGATGTCTGGACCTCCCAGGAGAAACTCCAGCAACCAGAGACCCAGGTAGGACCCAGGGCTGCCTCCTACTCACCATGGGCATACCATTCTCCTTCTTGCGCCAGATCCACTCTGGGTGTGGGTAGCCAACTGACTTGCAATACATCATGGCATCTTGCCCTTCATTCTTATTCTCACTCCGTTTATGGCCAGTGATGTCAGGAGCAGCTGTGAGAAAGAGTGTTGAACAGTTACCACAGGAGCCTACTCTGAACAGGATACAAAGGCCTCACTTAAGGACTCAAGAGCTCTCCTTCTAATACAGCCAGCCAGTCTCCAGGCCTCTCCTCATAGTCATCTTTGATAACATGCATTTCAGGTCAGAACACAGCAATGGAACAGATCCAATCCCCTACACCTCCCAACCACCGAAGCAGCTCAAGCAGATACCAGGATTACTATATGTGAAGTTCTGCTAACAATGTAGGTGGTTCTCTAACTTCCTAGAAGAGGGGACACAGGCTCAACTGCCCTAAATTAAAACATCCTTTAAAAAAAAAAAAATGCACATAGAAGCTATTATCATCTCCTCTTCCACTTATGGTTTTTTTCTTAAAATGTCTGCACTAATAACAGTTATGGATTATATCAAATGTCATATACTCCTTTAAGGAAATGAGAGATCCCCCTAAGATCAAACACCTAAAATCAAGTCCTATTGCGAAGTATGTAAAAACAATGACTGCCTGGAGAAGCAATCTGATGAATATAAATGGGCAAGGCTCTCCCCGGAAAGAGGGAATCCAGCAAACTGGTCTTCACAAGGGGTAAGAAAGGAATAAACAGGAAATTCAACCAGTGTCCCAAAAGATTTTATTAAGTTTTAAGAATCTGACCTGTACACCTGATTTGCAATAATCTCAATAAACCCAGTCTTGGAGGAATTTCTAGACATGCTAGATGTTGCTGGTCTTCTCTGCTTTAAGGGATCACTTAGGAAGAAATAGCACCTGTGGTTTAAAAATTAGATAAGTTTCAAGGATCCAAGAAGCCAGAGATGGGGCTAATTCTTTGAATTTAGTCTCCTTTGATCTTAACTAAATTTTCCACCATACCTCCTCCTCACCAGTTACAGTAATGTGAAAGCAGTAACATTCAAAGTAGGCCAGATGTCACTTTGTTGGCCAAGACAGGAAAGAGAATCAATAAGCCTGGTCCAAATTCCAGTTTCGCTTGTTCTTTAATTATTCTGTGCTTCAGTTCCACACCCATTATCAAATGAAGGTAATTCTAGCCCCTGCCTACATCCAGTGTCCTTGGATAAGGTAAGATTTAAAACATTAATCTTGAGACTATAAAAACCTGTACCATTATATGTCATGGGCTTGTCCCATGTTCCCCCTCTAAATAGCTTGGTTTTTCTTGGCTTACAAAATAATCCAAAGTGCTGCTACTTCTCAGACTGTGCTTCCCAGCCCACTTCCCGAGACACCTGGACTGAAATGGGATGAACAAGGTCCCAAGCTGTCTCTATAACCACTGCCTGCCCAACTGACGCCTGCTCAGTACTGCTCAGGGTGAGGCATTTTCTAAAGAGGATGTTATAAAAGAAGTATCTCTTTTTTCCCCCAGGCAAACTTCCTCACGGCAGAAGGGAGTGGGCCAGCTGGCTCAGTCTTGTTCCCTCCACACCAGATTTCTCCCAAAGCCACTTGGTCACTGCCCAGACCTAGTGTTCCACCTGCTCACCGTTCCTCAGAGCTTTCTTCAGTCAATAAATAGTAAAGACCATCTGAAGTACTCCAAGGAGCAAGCTCCCTGGCAATTCACTAACTAAAACACCATCAGGGAAGACACAACAAGCAGGGGAGCTACCAGTTTGCTTCTGGTTGTGTTTCATGTGTCTGACAAACATTTGTCAAGCACCTACCATACGCCAAATACATCAGAGTGGTGGGGGGACGGCCTTTCTGTTGAGGTGGATTTTAGCACAGTCACAAAGAAAATAAGGGAGTAGCGCACTCCTGTATCTGTGGGAAGAACACTCCATATAAATGACAAAAAAGCCTTGAGGCAGAGGTGTGTTTGTTATGGACAAGGAACAGCAGGGAGGAGTTTGGCTTAGGCTCAGTAAGCAAGGCAAAGATAGTAGGACATGAAATCAAGAGTGAATGGAGCCCAGATCGAATAGGACTTTGCAGGCCAACGCAATGACTTTGGCATTTACTCTGAGTCAGCTAGGAAGCCACTGGTAAATACCAAGCACGGGTATGGAATGATCTACATGTTTTAACAGGCTCCCTCTGGCTACTATGTAGACAACTGTGTAGAGAGACAACAGTGGAAGCAAGACCATTTAGGAAGCTGTTAAGAATAATCCAGGCAGGGGCGCCTGGGTGGCTCAGTTGGTTAAGCGACTGCCTTCGGCTCAGGTCATGATCCTGGAGTCCCGGGATCGAGTCCTGCATCGGGCTCCCTGCTCAGCAGAGAGTCTGCTTCTCCCTCTGACCCTCCCCCCTCTCATGTGCTCTCTCTCAAATAAATAAATAAAATCTTTAAAAAAAAAAAAAAAAAAAATAATAATCCAGGCAAGGGAGAAGGTGGTTTGAATGAGGGCAGTAGTAGTAAAAGTGAGGAGATTCTGATATATTTTATGGGCTGAGTTCATGTATTTGTTAATTGACTGGATGCGGGATGTGAGAGAAAAAAAGAGTCAGGGATGACTCCAAAGCTTCTGGCTTGAATAATTCTAAGAAGGGAGTTGCCAGTTACTAAGATAAGGAAAACTACAGAAGAATCAGGGTGTGTTTTTTTGTTGTTGTTGGCTTGTTTTTATTTTGTTTTGTTTAGGGATGGAGCAATGGTGGTGGTAAAAACCAGGAGTTCAAAGTTTAGGACATGTTAAGCTTAAGATACTTCTTTAACATCCAAGTGAAGTTGTCAGGTAGACAGCTGAATATCCAGTCTGAAGCTCAGGAGAGTAGTCTAGGATGGAGATGTAAATTTTAGAAATTAGCGTATGTGTGACACATTTTTCCATTTTCATTCTCCTTTGCCCCACAGAGAATACCCACTCTGGCCCAGTTATGTAACTAATTCCAATAGTTCTGTGAATTCAGTACCCTCAGCTTTTACCTTGGGGACTCATCCCAATATTGCACATTAGTACCACCTAGAAGGCTAGAAGTTGAGTTGGCTTATGATGCCACAGCCTCTAAGAAGTTGCTATTCGGAAAGGATGCAGACCAGAAGGCCAAGCAAGACCTGAGGAGAGGGATGGGGATGGTCTTCACTCCTACCATGGTGTTTAGGAGAACACCACTTCCCCTTTTCATTTATCTACTTTGGTTTCTACAGACTTCTATCTACAGATGTGAACGTAGCCTTAAAGGCTCCTATGCACAGAGACTCTCTAGGAACTCAGCTCCCCCATCACACTTGGTTGGCCGTATTTACCTAGTGCAAACCTATAGGAAAGAGTCTTCAATGGTGAGATCTAGTACCGCTTTCTCCTCAGCTTAGCAAACAATACTGAGTGAAGAAGTGTCACTAGTATTGTGGGCAGAGAAAATTAACCCAAGCCACATCACTCTATCCCTAAGGGAGAGATTATAACAACTATTACTTTAGCCTTTGAGTCAATGAAAAGTTTTTTTCACTTCTCTCTATCCTTTATGGTAGCTGCTTAATCAGAAAAGCCTGTTCCTCAGATGGTAGCCACCTTGTAGTGAACATCGCATGATGCATAAACTTGTCAGATGACAAGGCTGTATACCTGAAACTAACGGAACAGTGTGTGTCAACTGAAAAAAAAAAAAAAAGGAAAGGAAAAAAAAGGTTGGGGGGGTGGAGAAAGAAAAGCTGAGGACAATGGACCCACAGCAAGAAAGGTCACCAGACTCAGGGCACACGTAAGCACTGGTAAGAGAGCGGCGGGCGGGGGGGGGGTTGTCAGAGTCCTCTCATAGTGGTTTTTAAATAGTCTCCAAAGTCTTTGATATTCTTCCCTTCAAGAAGTGAAGCATAATTGCTCCCTCCCCTTGAGTGTGGCCTAATGACAGTATTCTAGTGAATGAATGAAATAAAGCAGAAGTAAAGGTATGTGACTTTGGATAGTTCACAAACGACCATGTGGCTTTCTCCTTGCTCTCTCTCGGGTCACACATTCTGGGGAAGGTTACAGCTGTCATGGCAGGAGGACACTGAAACAGTCTATGGAAAAGGTCCACGTAGTGCGGAACTACGGCCTTCTGCCAACAGCAGCCCTGTGAGGGAGCCCTCTAGGAAACAAATCCTTCAGTCCCAGTCAAGCTTTCAGAAGACTGCAGCCTGACAGACCCTGAGCCACCCCAATAACCAGCTCCCTAATTCCTGACCCACAGAACCTATGAGGTAATAAGTGTTTTTTTGTTTTAAGTCACTAAGTTTGGGGGAAATTTAACTACCCAATGAAGACGACATTACCCCATTTACATAGACTGAGAAACTCAATTTTGGAAATTACTTAACATCTAAAATTACACTGCCAGTAAATGGTAAAGCTAGAGACCAAATTCAGGACTGATTCCAGAGGCCATGCTTTTTGTACTTTACCATATAGAAGGAAAAATAAACTGAACTAGAACTGAGTCCATAAAAAATAAAAATATACAATATGCATCACAACTGCATAGAAAACTGCCCAAATGTTATCTTTGCTTGTAGAGGTACTAGAACTGACCACCTCCAGACCTGAGGTGGACTGATTTAGCTGTCGGGAGTTTACCCCATATCCTATAACACAAATAAAAAGAGCTTTGGACTTTAAGTCAGAGAAATTCAGGCTCCATTGAGACTATGACTCACCAACTGAGTAACCTAAGGCGGGTCATTTAAAATCCTTTGAGGGGCGCCTGGGTGGCTCAGTTAGTTAAGTGACTGCCTTCGGCTCAGGTCATGATCCTGGAGTCCCGGGATCGAGTCCCGCATCGGACTCCCTGCTCAGCAGGGAGTCTGCTTCTCCCTCTGATGTCCCCCCTCTCATGCTCTCTCTCTCTGTCTCATTCTCTCTCTCAAATAAATAAATAAAATCTTTAAAAAAAATAAAATAAAAATAAAATAAAATAAAATCCTTTGAGTTTCCGTACTCACTTTTGTAAAATGAAAGTTAATACTCACATAATTCTGGAGGTCTTGTGAGGATTAATTTACATCTCTGTACCAATCTAGCACATGACTGGAGCTCAGGG